GGCTCAGCGGCTCCAGAACTTGTGACACTAGGAATAGGAGATGAGGTCGAGACGACCTAGATAAAACGCAGATATCCCTTTCTAAGTCTTTGCGCAATATTATGTTTTCTATTTTGTTTTGCAATTTAAAACCAAACAAGTGGGAAAACGCCCATAAAAACTGTAAAACACAAAATGTGAAACCGCAAATTTGCTTGTATCTCTACATGGACCCAACATACCTTTATGCCAAATTTAGTGAAGATCCATCAACAGTTGGTGAAGTAATGGTAAAAAGCGCAAAAACGCCCATAAAAACCACAAAACACAAAACGCAATACTGAAAATTTCTATGTATCTCCCCATGGACCCAATGAACCTCCTTACCAAATTTGGTCAAGATCCATCCACACCATGCGAAGTAGTTACATGGACATACAACAGACAGCATTATTGTATTTGCCCTGCAAGTGGCACAGCGGCATGTCTGCGGATTTACAATGCTAGAAACCGGGTTTCGATACCCGTGGTGGGCAGAGCACAGATAGCACATTGTGTAGTTTTGTGCTTAACCACAAACAAACAAACAAAATTATTATATCTATATAGATTTTAATTTTCATTATGAAGTTGCGTATCTTTAAAATGTTGGTTGACTTATCTTTTTGAATATAAATTTCGTACAGTCTATCCTGCGTAACTGTTACTATTGTAGAAATTACAGTTAAATTATTTTCTCAAAACAGGAATCCGACATTTTTTTTACATTCCTTCCATATTACTTACGTATCAGCTGACAAACCAAGTACGTATGGAATGACACAGTAACCCAAACTATCTGAAAGAATTTTCTTTTTCGGAAACCCCCTCCAAAAAACATTCATTTTCCCCAATGCACTTTCCAAACAATCAGTTTCCTCACTCATCCATTCTTTTGAGTAAAAGATAACTTTAGTTATGGCTCTTAAAGTTTTTAAATCCAATTTTTAGGATTAATGATAAGATGAAGTCTAGTAAGGGTTTTTAATGTGATCATAACGTTTAATTATTATAAGAATATTTATTCTTCAGGAAGATGAAAAAACTTCTAAAATATTCAAGTATGGATTAGAAAAGCAGAAAAAATAATGAATAACTTAAACACCATGGATATACGCACGTTCGCACCAACTAGGTATGTCATAACCACTGACCTTAGAAGTTTCCTATGTATTTATTGTATGCCAGTTATTTCTGGGGTAGAAATTTTAAAACACTGTTTTTAAGAGACCTTCATATAGGCTTGATAAGAGGTTGAACCCTTTACTAAAACAGAAATACCATCAACGTTAGAAACATAATTATTAATATTTTTTTCTGTTTGACAGATTCGTAATTTTTAACAAGCTTTCGATGTTCGATACTTTCACATCATGTAGGACTACAAGGGTAAATAACGGCCAGTTTAATAAGACTGATCAATTAATCGTGTTAAACTAAGATAATAGAAAATACATAATACACCCGAGGCTAAAAAATTTTATGAAATAGTTAAGAAATTATACAATTTATTTAGAAAGACTTTAAATACGAAAACTTGTAGTAAATACGAGCCAATAAATAACAAACTAACAACATTTTTGTTACCTGTTAATGGTGATGGCTGTCATAGACATGAGAGATGCGGCGACGTTCCCGTAAAAAAAGAAAGGGAACAGAAAGCACAATGTATCTCCTAAAACCCACTTTTCATGAATATACCTAGACGCCGTCAGGGGGAGGTTAAAAGCACAAAATAAGAAATCCGCCATACATAGACTGAAGACGAATGCTGTCGTGGCATTTCTCAACTTCACACAGCGGGATAATGCGAATATTGTCACCAAGTTTCCTAGACAACCAACGACGATGAAAATAATACAACACACAGATGCAAATACTGTTGCTTCTCTGGGGTACTTGATTATACGGTCCTGTAGACTTTCATTTTCGTGTTCTTCACTGTCCAAAGTCTTGTTGTTATACATCAATCCTAAAACCATTATTTTTTCTTTCTTTCGTTCGTCTTCCGAGAAATATTATTATTTAAATTAACAGCGAGTGATAACTATTAAAAAGTACACGATAATTCGAGTTATTCCCCCTTTAAATGATTGGGTAGTAATTCCAAACTTGCTTTTTTGTTGTTGTTTTTCTTAAATATTAACGGTTTGCAAATACTCACAAGGCTTATACAATTGTTTGAACTTACTAGCGATTGCTTTATTTTTTGGAAAAAAGTCTACTATTGTTTGTTACTCAGAGGGGTATTACAGTTACACAAGAACTCCTTAGTCCAGAGTCCAGACTTCTTGATACATACATTCTTTCTCCAGATTTCCGCATTTATTTTCCTGAAAAAAAAAAATCAAGTCCACAGTTTATTAACTATAGATCTGTAGGATACAGTAATTAATGAAAACGTAAAATAATACGAGATGAAGGGTCCCAATTAAAACACCATTTGTGGGAATAAAAAAATATCGGTATCAATTTACAATTTCACATACAAAAGCAAAATTCTTTAGTATAGTGAAATGATGGCTTGTTATAATTAAGCACACAAAAAACAGTAAGATACGGTTTTTGCAAGTTTTAATAAACACAGAAAAATAATCACGAGAAATTATTACATTTTTTTAGTGATGATATGATTATTCACGTGCTAAGACGAACACTAAATTTGAAACTATACTATCTAATGTCCATATAAAAATTAAAAGATGTTTTTTTCTTCTTCTTGTTTAAAGCTACTTTAAATGCTATTATGAACAAGCTAAGTTATCCTCTTCTTGAAGTGCCCATCTTTCCTCCAACACTGTGTGGGAAAAACTATATTATTAAGAATCAGAATCCACGCGAAGGTTATATTAAAACACCTTGTTCCTGAATTGACAAAAATCCTCAGTCAATAACGGTTATAAGCTCATGCACTTCCTTGTTACCAAAAGTGACGTATAACATAAGCGAAGTACTCATATAAGTCACGTGGTATTCTTTAAGTATACTTAAAGTACTTTTTTCTCTATCAATAACTATTTTACAGATTTTTTTTTAAAGGAACTACTAAGCTATTCGTATGTTTGTATTGAGAAAGGCAGATTTCATTAGTTACGTTGACAACAATATTTTATACAGTAGCGTGTTACACGAGTTGCTTTGATAGCAAAAACGTAGGTTATAATTAGTTATATTGATAATAATTAGATAATTGTATCTAAAATATAAGATACGTTAAATAGGTTGGAAGGCGTAGTGTATTTAGCAACGTGGGTTACAAAGGTTACGTTGAGAGCAACAGGGTATCTAGAAACATGGGTTACGTTGACAGCAATACTGTATCTAGAAACATGGGTTACGTTGACAGCAACAGGGTATCTAGAAACATGGGTTACGTTGACAGCAATACTGTATCTAGAAACATGGGTTACGTTGACAGCAACAGAGTATCTAGAAACCTGGATTGCGTTGACAATAGTTGTTTATGAAAACATGGGTTACATTGACAGCAGTAGGATATCTAGAAACATGGGTTACATTGACAGCAGTAGGATATCTAGAAACATGGGTTACATTGACAGCAGTAGGATATCTAGAAACATGGATTACGTTGATAGTAGCAGGGTATCTAGAAACATGAGTTATATTGACAACAACAGTCAGGTATCTAGAAGCATGGTTACATTGACAACAGCAGTAGGGTATCCAAAAACATGGTTACATTGACAACAACAGTAGGGTATCTAGAAGCATGGGTACATTGACAACAACAGTAGGGTATCTAGAAGCATGGTTACATTGACAACAACAGTAGGGTATCTAGAAGCATGGTTACATTGACAACAACAGTAGGGTATCTAGAAGTATGGTTACATTGACAACAACAGTAGGGTATCTAGAAGCATGGTTATATTGACAACAACACTGTATCTAGAAAAACTTTGTGTTTCTTACAGTTTTTAGTTATTCCTTAATTTACGAAAGTTGGAACATGTGGGCTATACAATTTTATTTTTAATTTTAATGGTGAAAAAACCCTACTTGCTGCTAAATTATTCTTAACATGAAAGATATCTGTGAACTAAGCGTCAGCTTTGGAACCGGTATTCAATAAGCCATTTGAGAAAAATCATAGTTTGAGTTGAAATTTGATTGCTAATATTTCATATGATAATTTATGTTGTAAATGATCCATATATAAGAGCTTGGTAAGTGAATGTTTGATAGTTTTATGGGATTTTAGGTATCAAATATACAGAGTAGCAACTGTAAGAAGGCCGTAAGGCAAAGTTTCTGTAGAGTGGGTCGTATGCTTTGTGTAAAGTTCTCAATTTTTTCAAAACGAGTGATTAATATTTATATAAAAAAATTGTTTTGTTTAAACGAACACAGTGGACACCTGGTGGTTGTTTATACACGACAGAAATGCGTTAAAATGCTAGCGTCGAGGTTTGTAGCTTTGTTTACAAAACTACAGAAAGGGCTATCTGTGCTATGTACGCTGCGGGTATCGAAACCAGATCTTATTTAGCGTTATAAGAACTCACACTTTTCACTGTGCCACCAGGAGGAACATGAAGAATCATAAAAGCAGGAAGTAATTCTTTAAAACTTAACCATCATCTCCCTGTTCTATGTGAAGAATAAACCGAGGCGTCTTACAGTGCCTTAATAGTGAACCTTTTATTTTAACCCATCTGGTGGCATACTAGAAGAACTAGTCCGTTGAATACTGTCAACTGTTATGACCTCATACCAGGTATTCTAAAGAAGACGTATGGATACTCTGTTATGCTTATTTTTGCAGAACATTTTATACTCCAGTAACGCTTCACTGATCTGTATAGCAACATATATTTTATTGCATGATATTTACTGCGCAGGAATTTAATTTTAACCGCAACTTGGAAGGGGGGCACGTTAAACACACATTTTATATATATATATATAAACCATATCAACATACCCACTTACGCATAGATATAAACGTCATTAAACTCACCAAACATTAAAATGACCTAGTTGGTATATTTGGTTTGATTTCAATTTCGTGCAAAGCTACCCGAGAGCTATCTGCGTTAGCCATTCCTAATTTAGATGTGATAGAGTAGAGGGAAAGCAGCTAGTCAACACCACCCACCGCTAGCTCTTGAGCTACTTTTTTACCAATGAATAGTGGGATTGCCGTAACATCATAACGCCCC